AACACCTGCTGCGTAGTTATATGCTAGTATATCTACTTATTATATAAACTTCGACCAAATGTTGCTAAAATATTATTAACAAAATAAATGCAACAAATTATATGCATAATTCAATGTTTCACATAAAACAAATAAATTTATTAAATGATTATGATTATATTATTATAAATATATATTAATATATATATTATTATAAATATATATTATTATAAATATTTAATAAATTATTTGTATATTACACATTATCTTTCAAAATGATTTGCAGATTAACAAATTATAAGAATTATAAGTATCATAAGAATTATTAATGCAAAAGTTTTTAAATAGATATAATGAGAATAATCGATTAATATAAAATGCTACATCGTAGCAAGAGAATTCAAAGAATTCTTTTATTGTAATGTCAAATTCATATCCTATGTAATAATTTTAAATCATCTATAATCAAATATCTGGACAGAATAAATCCACAAAGACTAAAAATATTCAAAGTGAACATTCACGTAAAATATCCAGACAGAATAAATTCCCAAAGATTAAAAATATTCAAACTAAATTCACATAAAATAGCTTCTATCAGTGACATCGTTTAAATTAATTGGCTACATGGAATCGTTGATTTCCTTCCAAGCGAGTGACGAAGATTGATTTGACGAAAGAGTTTAATTCCTTAGAGAATTCTACGAACATAACGAAGATAAATTTACATGTCCACAAGTTATGATTTAATGCAAGTTTCTCATATTATTGAATAATATATAGAATTAAATCTAAGATAACATTAAATTTTGCAAAACAATATTATATACGCTATATTTGAAAGTTTGATGAGATAAGAGAGATAATTAGAAGGAATCTGATTTAACAAGAGGTAAACGTTTCTAATTAGGACAATTATTCTAGAATTGCATCATTACGTAAACTTCTACTAATCTATTTAACAAACTAATAATTAGACTTTAAATTGAATTGTTAACTTTACGTAACTTTAAGTTAGTAATACGTACATTGAATAAATAATTCATTTTATGTAAATTATTATAAACAACGAATTTTTAATATATTCAAAGCATGAAAAATATCTTTAATAAAATATTAATATAATTAATGATCAGATTTCTTTTATAAAAAAAAAAATACATGATCCTTTTCATAAAAGAAAAATTGATCTCTCGTGTAAAAACCACAAAGGTTGCAGTGGCAACGTGTTGTCAGATAGAGCTGGAAAATTGAAGTTACTGAACGAAGAGTGCTTTTGGAGATTAACGGTCGGATTACTTCAAAATGGATTAGTTGCAATAAAGCTGATGTAGAAAATGGTATCATTTTAAAAAGAATTTCATTTGATGAATTTACGAACAAAAAAGGAAGTAAAGTTAATTATCGGGGTCATGAAAACGGTAGTAATGTAAAGAACGGAAAACCGACGTACCAATGCATTTATTAGTTAAGTGATTTTTTAGCAGTAAAGCTCCTTTATTTAAGCTGCTTTTAAACGACTGAAGATTTCCTGGAATTTCATGTAAAGGGTAATACAAAATAAAAATTAGTCAATTACGATTCCATGTTATTTCTTGAGTATTTTTACGAAAATATTAGTTTTCAGCACAGGAAAATATTAAAAAGCATAATTATTCGATTTGTAGATGTAATGGTAAAAATAAAAAAAGCTTCGATCATTCTATTCGCCGAACATATCATTACTGCGAAAAAAAAGAAAAACAAGCAACTTTAGAGACAAATATTGTTCCTCATAAGCAATTAAAAATATTTTTTTATTAATTCGCATTTGTTAACCAATATTTCCTATATATATTTATTTTGAAAACAATTCATCTAATAGGATGAAAATATAATATTTACATGGATATTTAATTTTGAATCAATTGAATTTTTTTTTCATCAATTGAATGTTTTATCAATCTAAGCTATCTGTTAGCTTATTTCAAACAAGTTTTGTTGATTGCATAAACGCAATTTTCAGTGTTGATTATTTTTGACGCAAAGTCAACGCTTTACTATACGAGAACGTTTCTGCTGAAGTACTTCCTGATACCGCGACCGTGGTTTTGGCCGCGGTAATTATTCGAATTTAATTAAAACTCGCATTCGAAGTGAGCTATGCCGTGGTAAAGTCATTAATTAAATTTAGGGGCGAATCGCGTAGTACCTTACCATTGTATATGTAGGTAGATATGTACGACAGATACAGAAGAGATCGTTATTGCAAGTTCACGAACTCGGTTATAAGTTTCAATGAATTCAGTTTCTTTTAGTGATGCCGGAATTTTCTTTTCGGATTTGTCTGTGTTACCAGTTTCATCTCTGCTTCTGATATAGACGCATTTCCCCCGGGAATTTTATTCACGATTCAAGTATAACATAATTCTGAAATAAATTTCTATATTTTCTTGTCACTAGTAAAATGATAAGCAATTAATAAATGTATTAAAATTTGTTATTCAGCTACCAAAAGTTGTGAGATAAAAAATCCAATTATAAGAGAATTAAATTGCAAATAAAATCACTTTGATCAAATTTAATTTCATTTTCCTCTGGATGATATGTAATATTAATTATAATAAATTAATAAAAAATATAATTAATTAACCACAAAATTTATTTGCTATATCAAAAATACATGTTTAAATAAATTTTATCATCTCCTAATCCCTTTGAACAGAGAAATAAAATTCTTACAATAATTCTGAAATAAATTTCTGGAACAAATCTTATATTTGTATCTTCCTAAAAAAAGAGAAGTTTACGTTTCAATATTATATTTATTATGGCATTGTTGAAAATAATATTTTATCAGTGCACAAATTGTTTGGATGGTATCTAACATCAATAATCCATGACTATAATATTGTATAGTTTCGAAGATAAAAACTTTAATGTTTAAAAAAGATATTATTAAATTGTTGCAGGAGCGATCTTCACCGAGGATCAGAAGGATAGTCCGTCGGAGTTGGCATTCAAATACGCCATTTACAAAATCAACAAGGATAAGACTCTATTGGCGAACACGACATTGGTTTACGATATTCAATATGTGCCTAAGGACGATTCGTTTCGCACGTCCAAGAAAGGTAGGAAAATAATCAATATAACCTCGTAAAAGTATATAAACAGTATTATTCTGAGAGATTATCTTAAATATTATATATATTTGAATGGCAAATAAATATTATTTGAATCATCTATTGCGTGTTATCTTGAAAGAACTAATTATTAAATAGTTAATCATCTATTATTCGTCTTTCTCCAGAGTGTCTGTATCTTGCAATCAATAATTTCTGTAAGATATAGCGGAGCATTTTGGATAATTACAATTTCACGCTTGTTAATTACGAAAAATGCTGTTAAAAAAAAATATAAAGTGTAGTTGTATAAACATTATATTAAAGCTGAAGGAAAGAAGCAATTTATTTGTGGTCGTTGTTCTAGAATGTATTAATTTCAACTTTTTACATTATAAAGTTTCATTTTATTTTTTCCTAAAAAAAAGTTTCAAGTCAGATTTAAAATCTTCGCTTTTGTCAACATATAAGGTAACTAAACTTTATACGGCATACGTTTTGTATATTTGATTAAATACACTGTGTGAGTTTATTTAAAAGTGAGTTTAATTTTTTTTTAATTTCGAAAATTTTTTAACTTATTCAATTTACCCCTCTTTATTCTATGAGAACATATAAATGCGTCGTAATATTGAGAAGGCATGAATTTGTTATCTAGGTAAATTAAGAGTGCTTCCAAATATTATTTTCCTCTTAAATAAATTTAATAAATGAGAAAATTCTTTATTAATGATATACTATCTATGTAATAGATTGTAATATCGTTATATCGCTAATAAAAATTCATAATTAATGTAAAATAACTAAAATCAAATCATAATCATAAAAAGTAAAATATTGTAGTAACAATTAGGTAAAATGACAGACGTGATTTTCTTATATCGTTAAATTATTGTTTATAAGTTGCACCTACAAGATACACGACAGCGATAATTTGGAAGGCGACAATGATTGATAGCATCGCAAATATACAATTAATATAGTTGATAGTAATTAATTGTAACGTAACAGCTTTACAATATCACAATCTTCTTATTTTTTAATCAATTTACTTTTATTCTTTTTTTTTGTAAATAATGTGTAATTAAAAATATATCTACTAATTTTGACTATAATTGTGTAATGATAAGAAAAAAATCCGTCAATAATTTTTTCATGAAAAAACAGTTCTTAAAAATTATTTGAAGAGAAAGATATTTTAAATTCAGACATCAATTGAACTTAGCAATATCAATTGCATAATATCATCGGTTTGATCAAAAATATGTATAATAAATATTAATATTTAGATTTATATTAAGATATGTCACATTAAAATAACACATCTTAAGTAATTCATAATTTTAAATTTTCAATTTTATTACTGTTTTTTAATTTTATTATGATTTTTATTTATTTTCTAAAAAAATTTAAACATTAAAAAAAGTATGGTTGATGTAACATATCCCGAATGATTGATAATTTGGACTTAGTTGCGTCATATCTACTAAAAAAAAACCATGTCACTTTTTAAATAATTGCTTCGCGTCGCTTATTCAACAAACTATACACTTGAAGATATGAAAATAGATTATTTAAAAAATTAGACTAATACTTGAAAACATATTGCGAAATAAAAATCAGAAATATAAATAAAAACGTCGATGAATGAAATTTCTATTAATTATGTTGTTAAAAATATGTATAGCAATTCTATTAAATTGTTATATGAAAAACTTGTTCTCTGAATTACTTTGAAATTTGTGCGTTTTTAATTAAGTTTGCAAAATATCTATAAAAAATAGAATTATTCTATATAATATATAGAATGCAGAGCATGTTATTCATTGAATTTAAAATGATGTATTTACAAGAATACTTCAACTAGTGTAAAATAAACCTGAATTCATATTTTACGTGCAGTATTAAATGCGAGAGTATACGAATATAGACTAAAAGATATTTACTCCGTGCAATTTATACAATGTAAAATATATACCTGCTTCGCTAGCACGTGTCAGCTAGTGATTGTGAACAGTGACATACTAGCTAAAACCAGCTAATTAATTAATTTAGCCTTCATTTTAATATGCTCAAAAGACTGGTAGTTAGAGTATGACGTGAATCTCCTGTCATTGGAGCGCTTTTGACACGCGAGCTTAAAAGTTGGCAGGAAGCCTAGTGAAAGCAATTCAGTTAGCGATCGGCTATAGTGAATTACAGCGCGAGAACGTCGCACGCGACATGATGTAGCTTCAGATTTATGTAAAATAACACGAAACCGGATCGACTCCGAGAGCCGAAACCATAACAATGTCTCTCGCGCAATCGCAAGCGCGGCGGATAAATCTCAGTGCGACGAGCTCGACCAGTTATGAATTCGCTATGGGGCAATGTCTCTTCGAAATGTGTTTTCTTACAAAATTCTACACTGCGTAGAGATTCCATTTGTTTGGTTTAACCCCACGATTCTCAAGTTATCTTTGGCAAACAATAAAGAACACAATAAAGAAGCCATTTTGTTATTATCCGAAAGAAATAAATATACTCACGATTTAATAAAATTCTAGTATGATGCGACGAGGATGCGTACAATCGACGTTCAGTGAGGCAAAAGTTTCTTTATATAAAGAAGATTCTGTGTAAGTTGGAAAAACCTTATATATGTGCGAATATGGTACAATGATTAAATGCAAGCATGTAACTAATAAAGAGAGCACATCTAATTTTCTTCTTAAATCGTGCGTGGCGAAGATTTTCAACTTACTAAACAAGCGAGGTAAAAGAATGAGATTCGTGTTTATGTCGCCAATTCCAAGTTCACTAAAACATATATCTTAAGAGTCTTTTTTACAGAATAGAACAATAAATGGCTATACATATAACAACTAGGGTGGTGCCCAAGGCAAATACGAAAATAATGAATAAAGATATATAAATATAAATTTCATGAAATTCTGCTATAAGGAAACTATTCAAGCCTCATCTGTAAATAGCCAAATATATATCCAAGTAACATATAAATGAAGTATACATTTATCAGCGCTTTTTCTCAAAACATCGAGGGGAATCTTGCGATCATTTGCACCCTCTTGAATTTTCTCAAGCGGAAAGTATTTGGCCATAAATATGCCTATAGAATCCCATTATGTATAACAAGAATCCATGTATTTTTTTCCTCCGGCGTGCTTAAAATGATATCCATGGTTGGAAAGATTTCTCCGCATCCCTTCCGGTCGTCCTGACTACTGCGTTTCCTCTCTCGGACGGGGTTGAACCGTGTCGAACGGCGCAACTTTTGCAACATTTCTTTTGTAAACTGGCTCACCCCGCGATAAATTTCCCATGTCACCCGGGATAGGTGCCTGTATATATTTTCTCATTTTTGCGCATCTCTACGCGAGTTTAATGTTGCGTACGCGCGAATTCAGTTGACTCGCGCCTACTATGCCGTGATGCATTTCGCCTAAAAGTAATCGCGGCTGATGCTCGCGCCGTTTGTGTTATCTTCGCCTAATGTGTCCACGATCTGTATTTCTTCATGCAAAAGTTTTCAAACGGATTTGAAACTCCGCTCTGCTCTATCATGCGCAAAATCGTCTCCTACCGAGCCAGAATCGAATATTTATGTATCATGAAACCTGAATGGAAAAATTAAAATATCATTTTTCCTCAATACGTTTAACGACTAAAAAATAATTTTTTTTGGGGGGGGGAAGGGGAGAAACAACAATATACGTTATTCTTTTTCTCTTTCTTTTCATTCACAGAATATTTAAATCATAAATTAAACAATCCTCCTCGTATAGTCGGGCTTATCGAAGAGAGAAATTTTATCATCAAATATAGACAAGTTGCATTTTAGAGAATCAACGCAGGATTCTTTTGTTATTCTGTGGAAAATTGTTACATAAGGATTCTTTATTTTCCGCACAGTTATGTCGGAGCTCTCCAGGACGAGAAACGAAGAACAAAGCCTCGATAGAAAATTGAATTCGCGACGAAATACTCAACTCGAGAGAAAATCCTGTATGAATTTTTCAGGGCATCTAGTACGGATTACAAGGTATTGTGACATCTTACTGTCGGAAGAACGCATTATATGCATGTCAATTGGTAAAGCAATTATCAGAAGAGCATAATATTGTATTTCTCGAAGAAAAGATGAGAGCAAACAATTTTTCTTCTTCTATAATAAAGTAAGACACGAAGTAAGACACAATACATTAAACACAACTAAATAAATATATTTTATTGCTACCTTTATCTTAGTTAAAGTATTTCATTTATTTTGTTTGTTTCAACAGAAATTTTATCGGAAAATCAATCAATAAGTATTTTTAAAAAAGAAAAATATAAAAAGGCAGCATCTAATAAAATTTAATTTACTTTTATGAAATTTTATTAAGTCGTTAGAGAGAAACATAGAGTTGTTATCGAAAACAGTTAATAACAAGAAGTTTTAAAGTAAAAGTTCATGCTTTTGCTACGTTAAAAGAAGTTTTCTTCTTCCTAACATCACGGATACATGACATAAAGTTCGTTTCATGCTCTTACATTGTAAAGAATAAAGTAAGTTACTCTCTCGATGATAAAAAACTGTATACTACTTTAATAATTTCGCAAAAAAAAAAAAAAAAATTTCATTTCCTCGAGCTCGCATGGAAATAGGACATCACACAAATTTCTTTTCAAGTTTACGTCGTAGGTGTA